GGTTTGTTTAGAGATTTTCCCTTCTGAGTGAGTCAAAGGAAAATGCCTCCCACTTTTGAGCATCTTAACATTTCTCATTTCCTTTATGTTCTTGTAGGATGCATCACAAGTTTCCCCTCAATTCTCCAAGCAGGCCTTTGTCTTTGTTCCTATCTTTCTGGAAACTAAGCTCGATTCCACATCCTGAAGGATGTTCCTGCTGAAGTCACCAAAGACCTCTTTTGGTCTTCAGCTGAATGGCTTCCCTCCTCTCCTTTCCCTAGGTTGCTGCGATAGTCTGCTCTTGTATGTCTCAAACAGAAGCTTTGAGGACACGAGCATTCCTGAAAATTTTCATTTTATACTTCACGCCCTCAGATTTTATTATTTGATTGGCTTCTTTCCCTTTAGGAATCAATTTTATAACAAAAAGTTTTGTAACTCAGGCCTCTGTTTTCTCATCTCATTGTGAATGTTGAATGGATTGGGAGCTCTTAACCTGGCGGTCCACGGACAAGTTGGGCGTTCCCAGGTGGACTCAGGTGGGAGCCCCTGGGAACTTTCCACAGAACTGTGTGTGCCAGCCTCCTCCCCACTGTACTGGCCTGGAATCCTCAGAGGTTCTAAGATGCAGAAAAAAATGACAAATCACTGAGATAGATGATCTTCAAAGATTTTTTTTTTTTCAACTCAGAATTCCTATGAGGCTTGCTTACGAACTGCAGAAACTCTCAAAAACCAAGGCTAGCTATTTGTCAGCAATGGTGCTTCTGCTGTGGGGAACCTTGGTAAATATTTGATATGCTTGTAATGGAGACTTCCAAGATGATCTTCCCCTTTACTTTCTTGACTGATGGTTCTAAATCCTGTTGGCCAAAATTATTGGCCAACAAAATCCAATAACTTGGTTGATGATTCTGAACTCCTGGGTATTGTATATGTGTTGTTTGATTTTTTGGTTTGTTTGTTTTTATCCAACTAACTAAGTTGCTTGACCTATAATTTCAACCACACAGGAGGCTGAAGATAGGAGGATAGCAAGCCTCAACAATTTAGCAAGTCCCTCAAAAACTTACTGAGACTCTGTTTCTCAAAAAATAAATTAATTAATTAAAAGGGCTGGGATGTAACTCAGTGATAATGTACCCCTAGGTTCAATCCCCAATACCAAACAAAACCACAGTGCTCTCTCTTCCTGAGAGTCTTCAGGTTTATAATAAACCCCTAACTTGGAATTTTGTATGTGTTCTTTTCTTATCTCAATTGAAATTCATATAGGATTTTCACCTCGTCACAAAACAGCAAAGCCAAAAGGAACTTCAGTTCTCTCATCTGAATCTTTTGTTTAGGAACAAGGAAATTGCCAGGAAGAGAAATGACTCATTCAAAGACACTCAGCAGGCTAATGGCAGAGCTGGAGTGACCCTGATTTTCAATCTAGTGCTCTTCCCAACCCATCTTAAAGACCCTTGCACTTCATTTACCAGCTTCTGCTGTCCTGAAAACATGAGCAGCCAGCCCAGTGTGAAAACAGTAAGGAGTGAAGTCGAACCATCTTACTGGAAGAGTTTATGAATCTGCAGCGTTGGGGTGAGCAGCAGAGCAGTAACTGTGTGGCAAAGTTCCCCAGGACCACAAGGAAGATGACTCGAGCATGCACTGTGGGGAGGTGCTGCTGGTGAACATCAGAGGTGCCAGTGCCCTCGAAGCTCTGGTCCCAGGCTTTCTCCCAGATGGCCCTTGTACTTCCCTACACGGGGAACACACACTCTCCACGCACAACTTTTCATTCCTAGGTCTGGGCCTTTGCTCAGGCATTTGCCTTGGATGACACCCTTGTGTTGTACCTATGGGGAAACTGCCTACTCTCTGAGATCAGATCAAATGTTCTTTTTCTCATGAAGTCTTTCCAGACAACCCTCTTGCCCCTCCTGCTGCTTAAAATCTCTCCTCATCTTGATTTTTCAGAGTAGACTATCTGGGACTCTCTTTCTTGTTCGCCTTATAATTATTTGTGCACAGATCTTACTCTTTGAGGCCACATCATAAACTCTTAGTTGTGGTCCGCCAAGTTTTGTCTTTTCTTTCAATCAATGGATATTTACTGAGCACCTTCTAGACATCAGGGGCCACAGTCCCTGACTTTTGGGCTTTAATACTGTATAGGGACACAAACAAACAAAGGGGCAAGTATAAGAGTTGAAGAGTGCTCACATAGGTCAGTGCAGGGGCCGGGGCAGTACAAAGTCAGAGCCCTGGGACCAGTCATGCCGGTGTTGGGGGAGGTCATCAGGGACAGCTTCCAGGAAGAAATCATATCTAAATGAAACATGAAGGATAGGTGGGAAGGATCTAGGCAAACAGGCTGGAGGCTGAGAAGGATGAGGCTTGTCATCTCAATGGCCAGATTACATGGGGCCTTCTGAGGCCAGGAAGGAGGAGGGACTTCTCTGAGAGCAATGGGAAAGCCCCGATGATGTCCATCCCTCTCAATCTCTGGAAGTACTTAGCCCAGTGCCTGGAACACACTAGAAGCTTGAAATAAAGAGCAAATATGATGACATTTCAGACTATCTTTTCCTTTAAGTCTCTCAGGCAAAATTTTCCTGATTTATTAGTCAGGTACTCAACCTAGGTCCCCAATATTTAGAATAGAATGGAACTTGTGGTTTAGCAAGGTGAATGGTGGCTAGCAATTTTCTTGACTTACAACCTGGTCTGGAATGCATTTATCCAAACAAGTGACACGGCCTGAGGTCACATCATCCTCATGGGAACAGTTGTCAGGTAAGCCTTTTCCATCTTTAGCTTGTCTGTCACACAAAGACAGCCCAAGGGGCAGGAGTCCCTGGTGAAGGACCCCATTTCCAGGGTTGCCACAGGACAGAAGGTGAGAGCAGCTGAGAGAGAGAGGTGTGCGTGGGCAACTGCTCTTTCCACAGAGTGCAAGCCCAGGGCCTATACTCAGGCACCCACACAGAGGGCCTGTGCCAGGAGAACAGGAGGAAGATGAGAGGAAGTGGTACTTTTGGGGTCTGAAGGACCACCAGGGAAAGAAAACCAATTTTCAACAAGCCTGGCTCTCCATCAGCATAATCTCCACTCCTGTCCATTAGGAAGCAGGAAGTGAATACCCAGAACCTCACCGGAGCTCCGGCACTGTGCGCACTTCCTGTACACACTGCATCCTGGAATTGGGCCGTCATGATGACTCAGTACTGATGACAGGAGCGTCCAGGCACCTTAGATCAACATGCACGTTGCTCCTGTGTCTAAGACATTTAATTCTCTTCAAATGGCCACCTCACCACCCCTCAACCAGGCACACATTTTTCTTTTTTGCACACACATTCCAGGGACACCTGTTCAGGGATCAGGACAAACCTCTGCTAGGTACTGTTTTTATCCCACATTCCAACGCTGGGGGATGGGGGAAACCATATGTGGCAAAGGCAGTGGGTGCCTTGAGCACCTGCCAAGCATCCAAGTTACATTCACCGCTTCATACTACCTCGGAGGGACTGTTTCCATTCCTGCTTTTGCACATGGGAAAAGTGTAGCTTTGGTGAATGGCAGGTAAGTAAGTGGCTTGACAGAAAGAGGCTAAGCTGATTCTTACAAACTATGTGCTTTCCCTCAGTGATTCCCACTCCCCCCACACCAGGCCTGTGGGCACACACGCATCAGGCCGGGTCTGGCCTAGTATATCTCAGGTATCTGTGCTCCTGCTACTGTCCTGTTAACCTGGCTGTGCCCATGAGTCTCACTGAACACAGGCTTCTCAAGAGCAGGGATGAATGACATCTGGACCCTTCCTAGAAGCTGGCACCAGCAGGCCTTGAATCAATGCTCTGGACAAAACTTCAAAGGGAAACTGAGATGCAGGTCTGAGGGTTGAGCAGTTTACTGTGGGCATCGCATACAACAGATATCTATATAAGCGATTTACATCTTCAGGAAGCCATCCAGTTCTAAAGAGGTTCTAGAATGTTCTCAGTTCTAGATGCAGTTATAGATCCTCCAAGATAGTAACTCTACAGCTTCCCTTGACAAAGGGACAGCCATGTTCCCAGGCTCTGTGTTTAGCACTCACATGCATTATTTTCAAGGAATCTTTTCAACTACTCTATGAGGTAGGTGTTACCTTCCTTTTACAAAGGAGGAAACTTGAGTCTCCGAGAGGGTAAGTGATTCCTATCATTACATGGTAACAGGGAGCTGGTACTCAAACATGGCTACTTTGGAGAAGTTGCTCGAAGTCTTTGACTTCCTGGGTAGGAAATGACATAGCCAAAATTAGAATTGTAATCAGTCTGGTTGCCAAGTTCATTTCCCATCAAGAAATTGTCAGCCCTCAAAACATCCTAAGGCCACTTTGGTGTCTAAACTCTGAAATCCTTATAGTTGACTCAGAGAGATAATGAGAAAGTTACTAAAGAACCTTGTATGTCCCCTCAGTGACCCCAAGCCCAGCAAGGGGGCCCTGCATGCTCCACCCCAGAACCAAAATGCCTTTGTTCATGTGAACAAGGCCGTGTGCTCTCACACAAACACAAGACAGGACGGAGACCCGACAAAACCGAGCACTAGCAGCGCACCATGGGTTATGGAAACAAAGTGCAGCTCACAAAAACCAAACCGCCACATATCACACCAAAGCCTGGTGTTCTCAGCTGTTAGTCAGAGCAAACCAAGGACAAGCTCCAAAGAACAAATGAGACCTGAGGAAGGCCCTCCTTCTTACAGGCTTTCATACCAGGCCAGTGGGTGCCCTATTCGAGGATACTTCTGAATCACCTCAAGAGGCCAGAGTACCACCTGACCTTTCCCTCCAACCGTTCCCAGCCCTGACACCATGACTGGTGTCACCTGTATTCCCTTGGCCATCTCTTTGCTCCTAAGGCAAGCAAATGGGTCTCACAGACATCTACTTGGCCTTAGTCGATGGGCCAAGGGTGAGATGTGCAGCCCACCCTGCCAAGCAAGATGCCAAGGGCACCCCCGTCATGCTGCAGGCCTACCTGGCTCATACCACTCTGAGCAGCTTTCCTCTCAGCCTCGCCACCTCTACGCAGCTCTGTCTGCCCAGCCTCCCTTCCTGGAAAAGGGCTACCCAGAGGCTTGCTGGGCCGGCTCTCCTCAGGGGTGTTGAGATCTGAGAGTCTCTGTTCAGTACTCAGGCACCTGACCACATCTGAAGGTTTCAAGCAGCTCTTCTTAGAGATCTTGGGTCCACCAGGGCATCTCTCACCTGCCTGGCTCTCTGCTCTCCTTTCATATTGTCCGTTCTCTTCTCTCCAGGGCTGCCTCTTGCTCTGGCTGCTAAAGGCACCGCTAAGCTCTGAGATGACCCTATCAGAGCCCCCAAGTAGTGGCTGGGAGAAGCTATCTTGGCGGATGCCTGATGGTGACATGTAGACACCACCATCTCCATTGATGTGAAGGGGGGCCTGGGCACTGGCGACTAGCGAGTAGGCTTTGTTGGGAGGAGGCAGGGCCAGAGGGGGGCCCACTGAGTGTGGAGTGGAGCGATCCAGCCAACTTGACTGGGGGAGGCTGAGAGGCAGGGAGGGACGGGCCCTCACCGACAAGGCGAGGTGGTCTGTGTCATAGATAGAAGCCTCTGGCAGAGGAGGCAAGGGTGGGGTCAGGGCCAGAGACCGCCTGCTCGGGACCCCTACAGTCAACGAGATCCACTCGGAGGTGATGGCGTGCATCTCGGGGGATAGGGCCCGGCGGGGGTGGGGCAGAGATGAGGGGGCTGGCATGATGAGCTTGCTGTGACTGGGATACTTGAAAAGAAAAGGAGAGAGAAGAAAACAAAAGAAAGAAGCAAAAGGTACAAATGTCAGCATAAAGAGAATGGAGGAAAATAATCACTAGGTACATAAAGAGGAATGAAATGGAGAGGATGAGCAGGACACTCTGGTGCCCCCAAAGGAAATCACCTGGTGAGATTTGAGAGAAACTGGGGTGCAGGATGGGAGTGTGCAGGGCTGTGTGTAGGTGGGGTGGAAGGGAGAGGCAAGTAAGTGGTAGAGACGGGAGAGGTTCCCATCAGGCAGTTTCGGGTGGCACCAGCCTGCTCTGCAGAACTGGGTTAAAACACACACACTGGAAGCTACCCCATCCCAGCCGCCCCGTCATCTGCAACCAGAGCTCTGACCCAGAACTGTGGGGAAAAGGTGGCCCACCCCTGTCCTGGCTCTTCCTTCTCCCTAGGGAGCTCAGCAGAGTCTTTCTGAAAGGAGCATGGGTAGTGGGATCATTTTGTTTTATGGTCACTTTTGACTACAGTCAAGTGGAAAAGCCCGGCTGAGTTCTCCACATTCTCATAGAGCAGAACACTCTGCTTCAGTCTCACACTGTCCCATAGGAGATGGCAGGATGCGCATCTCATTGTGCAGGAAGCCCATCTGATGCCTTGTACCATAAGCCCTCGGCTGGGGCCAGTGACAGAGGAGGAAATGTTTGGAGGGCTAGAGGAAAAAGAGGCAACACTGAAGCATCAGGTGGGTCCCCCAGTCCTCCGGCCATCGTCCCTACAACTTACACAGGTATGGTCAGTTTGTTCCACAGGACGTCACTCCACATGCCTCTCTTGAACTCAAAGCTATGATTTTTTTTTCTTGCTTTGGAAAGAGGACATGGGTTTGGAATACTTCATATTGTTAAACAAGTATGTTCATATTTAGTGTTCAGAGCAGCAAACATCTTACTGTGCCCATCTTACTTCCTTCCAGGCTGGTGTAGACCAACAACCTGTAAGTTCCTTTTCCAACCTGGTGCCAGGGAATTCTTGCATTATTGCAGACCTGGTTTACATGTCTGAGGATGAGACAAACTTTGCTTCTCTCAAACTTTGTCTTCTGCAAGCCAATCTTGACTGACAGGATAACTGAGAGAACCACCCCAGGCCACGGGATTAATGATCTACTAGTTATGATTTCCATACCACCAGCTTCAATTCCCAGGATCGACCAACTGATAAAGTCTCTCATTTTCCCTACTCACCTTTTCCCCTCAGAATTATCTTTAGCCCTTCCTTTTCCCCCGAGATAATATTTCTCCTACGACACGCTGGGGAAATGCCACTTATATGCACAAAACCAAACTCCATTCTATAGTCTACATGGCCAGAGACAGTTCGTAAATCACAGTGCCCGAGAGTCCTCCTGCAGGGGCCATGTGCCATAGGCACCATAGAGCATAGAAACACATTTTGAGAAGGAAACCCAGTCACGAGAAGAGTAGATACCTGTGGGCTCGCAGTGGCACTGCGACTTGGGGAGGAGGAGTAAGGCAGGTCGATGTAATCCACGGGGTTTTTCACCAGCGGCCGTTTGATCACATCCACGTAGGTAATGGGAAAGATGCCTTGTCGGGATGTCCCCGGAATCCTCCCTTCATACCAGTTCTCATCCACTTGTCGAAGCAGTGTGATCCTCTCACCCTACAAGACACAGAAAGATGAGGGTCCTAGTCACGCCTCGCCACATCTGAGGCCCCTGCCTGCACTGTCCTGCATCATTTAGCACATCCTTTGCTCAGGAGAAATGGCCCCTGCTGGACCTGATGGAGTTAACGTCACTGGCCAGGGATGCCAACAGCAGTGGAGCTATTTGATTGCTAGGAAGTTAAACTAGATCTTCAAGTCTTTACCAAAATAAAAGGAGATCAGATTCATGCTCCCAAGCTGGAAGGCAAACATGGTGTTTTTGACTCATTTGAAGCAAAATGAACAGGGACTCGATTTTTCTCTCCCTTTTTATAAATTTATTTTCCATGTATTATTGCAGAAAAAATTATCACACAAATAAATACCAAGAAGAAAAGAATCATCACCCATTATACCTGAAGTTGGGGAGTAATTGTTATTAATATTTTGTTTTATATGATTTTCCAGATTTAACTCTATGCATGTGAAGTAGACTTGTCCATATTTTTTCCCATGAAAATCAAATTTTCGCTGTATTCCCCTTTTTCTATTTGCGTTTGTTATACTTAACTATACACAGTGAGCTTCCTTGTTTCTAAAGAAACATAATTCTACATTTTTAATAGTGTTGCACACCCTAATGGACCAATTCAGGGTCTTCTTTTGTATACATAAAACAATTTAATTACTGACCCCCTACTATGGGCAAATAAGTTGCCTCCAGAGATTTTCCTGTATAAGTTTTTAACTGTATAAGACAGTTCATCTGTTTATGAGCCATCTGCTCAGTTCCCTATATCCCCAAGAAAATTTGTAACTTTAATAACTTTAGCAATCAGAGAATTTTGAAATGTAGGAGTATTTCAATTTCTGGGAAAGAGAGTTCTTTGCACGGAATAATTATGTTCATAATAAGCACGTTGAGCTCCTTGAAGGCAACTAACGGCATCTCCTATTTACTGAGCCCTGACCAGATGCTACATGTCTCACTGGTGGTTTCACAAATGTTGTTTCATTTAAGCCTCTTACAACCACTCCCAGAGAGGGCCGTTTATCTTCTTCTTTTTCTTTGTTCCATGAGGCAACAAACTGCACAGCTGATAACCTGTGAATTTTGGCTTCAAAGCTTTTCAAACCCTTCTGGTACCAGTGGACTTCTTTTCCCCACTAGGCCTGTGTACGTATCATAAATCTCATCACCAACACAGTGTGCAACACAGCATTAGGTGCCAACTAGATGTTTTAAACAGTTTATTAAAAAAAGAGTCTAAAGTTCTAGAAATACTGTTAGTGAACTCAATGTGGTTAAATCCCAACTAGAGTATATTTTAAAAATACCTCATCTCAGAAAATTCTCAGTCCTTAGTGCCATTTTTGATCAGCATGCATCTCTTTAGGGTACAAATTGGCACACCACAGCAATGTCACAATGTCACATTCCAATGTCACATTCCTGTCTTAGATGGAACCATCTAAGACAGCCCCAACACGTGGGGCGGGAAGGATGGCTTACCTTCCTGAAGGACATTTCTACTTGTGTATCACCATTGAAGTTAAACTTGGCAATAGCTTCTCCATATTCCAGAACCTGCACAGGCGTCAACTTTTTGGGCTGAGCCTTCTCAGCAGGAGGAAGAAGCTGAGAAAGGAAAAGAGGCAAAAGAGACAGGGGGGAAAAAAGAGAAGGAAGAAGGGAAGCAAGAGTAGGAGAAGGGAACAAAACACAGGGACACTGTAAGCAAATGGTGATTCGCACGACTGGGCTTTTCCTTAGGAAGACTAGAGAGGGGCTGTTGTACCTCAATGTAGGTGCGTGGGAAGATTCCCACCCGGCCGTGGTGTTCACCCTCGTACCAGTTCTGGTCAATCTGCTTATAAATGTAAACAATGTCTCCCTTCTGCAGAGGAAGCTCCCTGCCAACAGAGGTTAGGTCATTTTAGCAGAGTTTCAAACGTGCGAGATTAAGACACTTCAGTTTGTTAGCAAAAAGAGACTTCAAGAAGAGCCAAAGGGGACACATTACAGAAGAGGGGGCTCCATATTTGGAAGTGAGAAATGCTCTATTCAGGAAATTATGTCACACTGGGCGTTTTTCCAGTCTTGTGGGGGATGCGTGTTAACATTCAAACTGACTCGCACTTGAAAGTGCTCGGGGGGCCTTATTAGTTTGCTGTGGTTTTCTTCATGCATTTCTTTGTGAGCGCTGTCTAAAAGTTTAGAATACTGACAGCACCACATTGCAATGCAGCCGGAAGTCTTAACTGATGTTTATTCCATTATTCCAAAAATGTCTCCTCCTGAATCTCCTTGCCACCTCCACTGCCTTCTCCATCCTAGCAAGGCATGCCCGTGTGGCTTTAAGTCATCCTCAATTCATTTATCACATACTGATACCCTTCTATCATTTCATCCATTTAGTCGTCTACCCACCCACTTGTTTTACCATCCATCTTTCTATCATACCGTAGAAACGCTCTGAAGTTAGGTAGATCTGGGTTTAAATCCCTGTCTATGATTTACTAGCTTTGGGACTCTAGAAGATCTATTTAATCTTCCTGAGTCACTGTTCCTTTATCTGATGATAATGGCTCACTCAGAGTTGAAGAATGCAGACATAGACTGCAAATGAAACACCATGCACAGCGCCCGCTCTAAAGCTAACATCCATTGAATGTTCATTCCCTGTCTTTTCAACATGAGAAAAGAGATCTTGAAAAGAAAAGTGGATTTACTGTAAGCACTCTTGATGCAATTTTCCACTTTTCCATATCCATCCCTTTGCTTGACTCTATGATAATGATAGTCACATCCAACCAGGGCTTCTTTTTAAATACAATGAGACAAAAAGTAAAATTCTGAACAAAATGAAAACTTAAGAGGATAACAAAAATTGTAATGTGATATTCTTTGAATTAATAAAAAAAATCTAGATCTTTTTTCATGTGCATCAAACCAACAGGAAGAAAGGTCTCTGTAACATGGAAGGGGTGTGACTGTTTTGCAGTGTGCCCAGAAGTCCCATAGTAAGTGAGAGCTAAACAACAGGCACATCGGGAAAACTTTACACAAAGTCGGCTCTGTGCTGAATAAAAGCACAAGGCAGCCTCTGTGGGTCTTACAGTGGGGAGAGAGGATCCCGACCCTGAAGAGGCATGTGAAGGGAGTCTGAGGCATTTGTTTCCTGTGAGGAGGAAGGCCTCTGGCTACATTTTTGCCCCAGCCCTCCTTAGGGTGTCTTGAATTCCCACTCCTTTTAATCCCAAGTGCGGGCACCAAGATGCGACAAGATCCTCAGCATATCCGCCCTGCTGGAGGTGTGCAAGCTCTGAAATCCGCTACCCTGAGTATCTCGTAGCTATGAAGGCAGTGTAAGGGCTGAAATGGCCCTACTGTTAAGCAAAGGAGGAGGTCAACTTGTATGAGAGATGTGGCCAAGGTGAGATCTGTAGCTGTGGCCAGAGAAGATACACCACAGCATCCGGGGGCTGCCATTCTTCCTGAACTACGGATCACTCCTCCAGTTCCAAAAGAACCAGGTGGCCAGGTCTGGTGGTAAGAAGGTTTGGGAAATAGTAACATGATACCAGTCTGGAATGTCATTGCGTACATGAGCACAGCACAGGTGAAATCCAGTGGGGAAAGAAATCTGGTTAATTTTGTTGATCCAGTGTTCCCTCGGCACACTTTTTTGAATAAGCACTATAAGGAAAGATAAAACCAAGGGATTGGAGAGCTTAAAAAATAAGACTTTCCATGGACTTGGCTCATCCATTTTTTTTTTTCCTAAGTCCTATCGACATTTTTTAGAGGTGGCATGTGATAAAAACACTGAGTCAGGAAAAGGGAGCCAGCTTTCCAGCATTGGCAATGTTTTAAATGTTGGCAATTTCCATGGATGTCAGCCTTCTCACCTCTTCTATTTCATAGGGTTGCTCAAAGAAAAAAAATGTTTTAAATTATGCTATATGCATTTACGAATATTTCATAATGAATTCCACTTTTATATAAAATCATAATGGAAAGTGTATTCATATTGTGTGTGTGTGTGTGTGTGTGTGTGTGTGTTGGGTACAGTGTGAGTATTAACTTCTGCTATACTGTGCAAAATGTTTTACAAGTATCATTGTGACATCTTTTTATCCTCATCTTACAGAGGAGGAAACTAAGGGTGGCAGGGATGGATAAATGTAGAGTCACAGAGATGTAAATGGCATAGTCAGGATTTGAACTCAGGACTTCCTGACCCAGAAACATAATATCTTTATAATACATTACACAGCCGCCTTTCAGCGGATGGGCTAAAGAACTGAAAAATATACCAGGCTCATGCTTAGGCACTAGAGTCTGTGGCCTGGTCATTCGTATTGCATTGGAGGATATCAGAACCACAGCTGAGCAGCCTCCACACAGTGTTTACTATGGTCCACAGAAGAGACCTCTCCCTCTCATCACCAGGGAGAGGCCTCCCATTGGCAGGGCAGGGGTTGCTGCTGGAAATGATATTTTTGGCTGCCAATGAAAAGTCATGGCCTGTTTCAATCTATAATCAAATATAAAGCTGAAAGTTTCCTTTTGGAACCCAGTCTTTGGTAGCATTTCCCAAATGGTTTTCCATGGGAAACAGAAAAGTTTCCTGTTCTCCTAAATTTAGAAAGCACTAGACTAAATAAGTTTAATTAAGTTTCTTCCTTGAAAGATTTCTAGTTATTAATATGCTAATAGAAAAGCATCTTCTCAGGTGGGGAGAGGTCTAAATTCAGCACACAGTGGGGCCTTCACTCATTTCTGTAACAGGTCCTTCTTTTGAGAAACATCTTACGGAGCCAGTACTTTGAGGCGCACACTCAGATGTGTCTCCTGTGGATCCCCATAGGCCTTTATTTTGGGGGGATGTTATTGTAAAACTACTAAAGTTTGACTCCTAGAGGCTGGTTCTGGTTCCTTCCATAGCAGGGCTGGGGTCAGCTCAAGCTACCACTTCATCAAGCAAACAGAGCTCCTATAGAAGAGGAGGCCAGGTGGTACAGTGCAGAGCCCAGCTCGGGTGCCAGGTTGCCTGGGTTGCAATCCTGACTCTATCACTTAACCTTCACCTTACAGGACTTCAGCTTCCTCATTTGTTCAGTGGGGATAATAGTACCCATCCACAGGATTTAATCCCCATTCATATGGGTGAATGAGTTAACATATGCAGTATATTTTAAGTAGAGCCTGGCATGTAAATTACTATTTTAAAAAAATAATTGTTAATCATTTCTCCAACACTATTCTATAGGCAAACTTCTGTGTTTCCAAGAGGCAGCTAAGAAGACAAATAAATAGAATCAGTGGCACTTACTTTAGTGTCTGCGCTTTAAAGTCAAATTTGGCTCTGGCAGGTCTCATCTAAACATAAGAAACAATAGCAAGTTAAAATAATTATTCACGTGCAATAAAAAGGATGCATTTTCATATGTTTCTAGAAAGCAAAGCAGAAAATTTTTGCCTAACCAGTTCATTCTGATATAGAAATGGGAGCCAAATTCCTGTGTCTGACCTTGGCAGAACACTAGATGAACACTGAGTCCACTGTATCCTGCATGAGGGTCAGATTTAGGGAAGAGATGGTTTGAAAAGCCTCCAAAGCTTAAGTACTGGACCCCAAAACATGCTGATTGTGGCTATGGGGGGAAAATATTGTCAGGGAGAAATCCCAAGACATTTCTTTTTTTGCATTTTTACTCCAGGGGATATTTCTATTTGCCTAACCTAAATTATAATCTGCAAGGGGATGAAGCTCTGATTCACTTCTTATGGCATCTTCAACTCTCTATATTTCTCATGGTCTGTGAGATCATCCCAAAACCAGCCAGAGCAAGCCCTGAGCTCATCCTCTCTCTGCAGACTTCCCCTTCTGCTGGGGTAGCGCTCTCCTCCCAGAGGACCATGCCTGGAAGTGAGCCCCTGCCCCTTCTCCACTTTCTCATCAAGTTTGTCAGTAAGTCACGCCTGCCCGCCCTTGGTCCACAACCCCCTTGCTCAGATCTGACCTCTGCTTCCCACTGGCACAAAGCTTCCTTTGACTTCACCTTCCCTTCCCTCTAATCTACTGTCACCCAGGAGCACAAATAGCATTCCTCAAATTCTTCCCCATGACTTTCTTGCTTTGATGTTGGCTTTGGCTCTCAAACTGTCCCTCAGATCACATCTCAATTCTTGACATGGGTCACTCCTCCCCACTCTTACCTAACTGCTTTTATCTCTATTACACGCTTCCTGTTTCAGTCTGGCAAATCTATCTGCAACATCTCTACTAAGCTCCCAGATCTGCCTGTAATTTCTTCACCTCCAATTCTAGCAAGAATTTCATCTTTATTATCATTCTTATTTGTATATCTTTCTTCCTCATCTTTAAAAGTAGTTATTTCTTTTTTATTAAGATGATGGGGAATAGAAATCATGTATGTAAACAAGCTATTTCTAGCTTCCAGTGCAATTCTGTGTTCCAGCCATGAGCAGCTCTAACCTCTCTAAACTTGCCAACTGTCATGACCTACTGATCTCGGGGAGCGATGTGATGAAAGTGAAAGTGCATGTCCTCTTCAATATTAGAAGGTGTGAAAAGAGCAGAAGGAAAAAAAGAAAAACGGAACAGTAGGTGGGAAAAGAAATAGTATGTATGTATGTATGTATGCATTTATGCAGCACTAGGGATTGAACACAGGGGTGCTCTAGCACTCCATTATATTCTTGGCTGTTTTTATATTTTTTATTTTGAGACGGGGTCTGGCAAAGTTGTCTGTGCTTGTCTGGAACTTGTAATCCTCCAGCTTCTGCCCCTCAAGTAGCTGGGATTATAGATGTGTGCCATCATGCCTTGTCAAGAAAATGGCATTTAAATGCTTCATCAAGCTTAGTTTTTTTTTTTTTTGAGGGGGGCAGTGGTACCGAAGATTGAACTCAGAGCCACATCCCAGCCCTATTTTGTATTTTATTTAGAGACAGGTCTCACTGAGTTGCTTAGAGCCTTGCTTTTGCTGAGGCTGGCTTTGAACTCTCAATTCCCCTGCCTCAGCCTCTGTAGCCGCTGGGATTACAGGCATATGCCAACACATCTAGCTTCAGTTTAGGATTTTAATACTTTACTGATATGCCCATAATTTTATGTACCTTGAGGCAGGGCCTTGCAGAGATCTTCTTAAGGGTGGTGAATTCTCCACAGGAATGTTTTAATTTTGAATTTTCATGTTGATGTTTCTATCTATCTATACACATTCATTATTCGAGGCCAACTGAATAACCACCTTATAATCAAGTTAATGCTACACAATTTTAATGCCTATGTTTGTGCCTATAGCCTATGTTGGTGCCTATAGGTAACCAAAGAGTATAATTTAACAACTGGGCATGAATAAGAAAAGAATGGATGTGGGATTAATGATAAATGACAAGGTCATCAGAAGACCCAATGACCAAATCTGTAAAGATAAAAATTTCAGTGATTCCAGAAGAAAAAAGTGGGGGAAGGGGAGGTCCCCATGTCACCCAGTTGTAGAGCTGTGAGAACATTAAAAAAAATTATACCAAAGCAGTATGTAATCATGTTTGAATGGTAAATAAGTTTTGTCAAAATGATATCACGGAACAATTAAACTAATAAAGTTGTACAGGTGTGTGGTCTATAATTTAATTTATAAATTGGATTAGGTTAATAAAGAGGGCTGGTGACTTTTTTTTTTCATTAAAGGTTATTCATACGTTATTTAAGGTTGAGAAACGCTGATGCCACTGAACTCCTAAGAAGTGTATGGGAGTCACGATGGCTACACAAAGCAGCGGCTTCCTCTTTACTCTCCTGTAGCTCCAGAGACCACACCCATCTTAATCTCTCTGGTTCTCACAGCATTGTGTAACTTACTACAAGGAAAGATAACTGTGTATGAGGGAGGGTCTTTCACTCCCAGCTCCCCAGGAGCACAGACTGAGTCCTGTTCATGCCTCCAGCGGGTTCTCACACAGAATTACTCCCACCCAAGATCTACTGAGTAAGAACAAAGTGCATCCACACAACACGCCACGCCTGGGACTTGTTGGGTTCTACTTTCTCGTGTCTATCAGTCACCTTCCAAGGAGATGATTCTCAAAATGTGGCTCCTAAATGGACGTCATCAATATTTCCTAGGAACTTGCAAGTTCTCGGACCCCACCCGAGAATCAGAAACTCTGCAGGTGAGGCCCAGGAATTTTATCAAGTTTCCAGGGGGTTCTGATGCACAAATTTGAGAACTATTGCTCTCGTAGGGAGGTGGGGCCCCTGAGGGGGAATGCCTGCCTCGGTCCATGGTCGTCTACCTGAGCTGTACTTCATTTACATGGGTCACAGGGGTATCTTTGCATGTTCCCATTTGCATCCTCATCCACAGGCAGGAAGGCCTGCACAGGAGGGTCAACCCATCACCAGAGCCTTCATAACAGGGCTGTTCCAAGGGGGATCCAGAAGACTGAGGGCTAAGGGACTTCCCTTCCCAGGCAATTGAGTAACATTTTCTTTTTCTCCACACTTTAAAGTCTCCTTCCCCTCCCAGCTTTCCTTCTTTAAATCTGATTGCCAGATGCCTTCAATTTCTTAAAAAAAAAAAAAAGACAAACATCTGTCACTCAAAAGACAGAAAAGATAAAAGCATTAATATTAATCTACTATACTGATAGATTATAAAACTACATATTGCGGATCCCATTCCCCCACCCTCCACCCCAAGTCCCAGACACAAATGCTTCCCCCAAACAAGACTATCTTCAGCAGGGCTACTTAAGGGTTAAGTGGCACAGCATAATCTCTTACGCAAGAGGCAGCATTTGGCCAGCACAAGAATTCCAACATATTGACCTTGGTGTAGGAGGCCAAGACCCAGATAAAGTCACTTCAAAGTTTTGTTCTTTGTTCCTATGATAATATTAAGTTTTTGTAATCTTAGAAATGTCAAAATTAAGAGAACAAATGAAACGTCTCTCAGAGAGCTCTCTGACTCTCCATGGGTTTATCCTAACTGCAAAAATCTTCACATTTTAAAAGTCTTCAGTGAGGTGCCACAGCGCCACTGAACAAGCCTTACAATTAATACATCTGCACACAAGCTGCAGTATTGTTCTCTGAGATTTTCATAGCAATGTTACTAAGTTGGGGGGAGGGCTTTTGTAAATGGCACAGTATTGATAACTTTTGTGATATAAGTTGCATTAACCATCTCTTTAAAGAAGATTCTTGCAATTGTTCACACCATAGCTACCAATGCACGTGGCCTCAGGTACAAGGTCTCCAAGCAATATACACAGGCAACACAGAATCATGATACAATGCAGCATGGAGAGGACTGGACTTATGAAGGCAGCCGAGGCTCTAAGCATGCATTAGGGGTGTGCGTCAGCGGATCCCGGTCCCACAGCCAGGCATGCTTGAGCATACAGAGCACAGAATGTAATGGGGCTCATGTCCATTCACCAGCCACAAGAGCCAAAGCAAGGCTAAGGGAAGCCAGGATGACAGATGCTGTTTGGAGAACTAAATTGACCTACATAGGGCAATGCTGAAGGGAGGCAAATATTGCTTTGGGTCAAGCAGCAGTTTGAGGCAACCAAAACAGACCTCTGACCCAGATTTCCTTTTTGCAGTATCGTCTATATTGAGGAGGTCCCCAAAGCGCTCATTAGTGATAAATTGATGGTGCGTCGGGATGACGCCCGTGTGGCGTCGAGCTGCAATATCGGCCTCTTCTTGCTCGCGCTTAAGTCGTCTCTGGTCCGCTAAAAGTTTCTGCCATGAAATTGCATAAAATAGGCAGTGAATCATCTGGTCCAGGGCATTAGAAAACTGCCAACGAAAGCAACTAAGGAAGAAGGTGTTGCGTGAACCATGAGGAGACTTTAAGGGTCAGATGGCTATAACTCTATGTTCCCATAGTAACCACCCTTCACATTCAGCAGGAAGGAGAGCGCACTGCCTAGGAGAAATCTGGGGAGAGCTGGGATCCAGGGAGGATCGATTCTATAAGATCACACTCTCAGCCAAGTCTCCTGCCTTCTGGCAGCAAAGGCCAGGTGACCCAGGGGGGCACATCCAGGGCACTGCAAGGATGCTGGGCAGCCATCGGGAAAAGTCAGGCCCACCATCCTTTGGAGTTAGATGTTCGTGGGTGCACTTCAGGACCCAGTTTATTTCTATTTTTAAAGACCTTTTAAAATAATCAAACAATGTTGCTTTTTTACCACCTCACTTGGGCACATCCCACAGTAGTTCCCAAGGCAGAACCAGGGCTGGCTGATGACTCCTGTGCACGTTAGGCCTATTAAATCTGCCCTAGGATTTCATTACCTTGTAACCAGGTAATTCTGCTGCTTCCTCTTTCGGTTACTCCTATATGTTCTCCACAGAGTGGCACTGCCCACTTCATAAAATAAGGCACCCCTTCTAAGCCAGCCCACTCCTCTCTGGGCACAATTTTTAGGAGCCCTTAGAATATGTATTAAAGGCTATGTGATTGACAGCCCCAGTTTTTCTTTTAAGAAAAGTCTAACTTTTTCTTTTTTGTAGTTGTAGATGGACAGCATGCCTTTATTTTTATGTGATGCTGAGACTTGAACCCAGTGCCTCACACGTGCTAGGCTCTGCCACTGAGCTATAGCCCCAGCCCCCCAGTTACATTCTTATAGAACTATTTCTTCATTAGATTAAAATAAAGCTGAGTTTAAGGGAATGATGTAGACTGTAAATATCAAAAATAAGCTAAGAATAATGGTACCTGGGGTTAAAAGAAACAATTTTTTTTCTATACTAGGAAAATAGTCATCTCGTTCTATTTTTTGTTTGTTTTTCAGTCCTGGAGATTGAACCCAGAAATGTTCCACCACTGAGATACGTCCCTAGCTCTTTTTAATTTTTTTTTTAAATTTAAGAAACAGTATCATAGCCAGGCATAGTCACACATGCCTGTAATCCCAGCAGCTTGGGAGGCTGAGGCAGGAGAATTGAGAGTTCAAAGCCAGCCTCATCAACGGAGAGGTGCTAAATAACTCAGTGAGACCCTGTCTCTAAATAAAATACAAAATAGGACTGGGGATGTAGCTCTGTGGTCGAGTGCCCCTGAGTTCAATCCCCAGTACCCCCCCCCCCCAAAAAAAAAGGAGAATAAAGGGTATCAATCACAAAGTTGCCCAAGCTGGCCTCAAACTGGAAATCTTCCTATCTCAGCCTCCCTAGTTGTTGGGATTACATGGATGGACTCCAGGACCCAGTTTATTTCTAGTTTTAAAGACCTTTTAAAATAATCAAGCAAAGTTGCTTTTTACCAAATGCCCTCATTGTCTATTGAAATGGTCCAACAGAAAAGACTTTTAATTGTGTCTCCTAAAGCACAACAATCTTACATTTCTAGGATTAATGTCCCTTATAGGAAAGCATTAATTAGAATGGATAATTCTCAGCATGCTCAATAAAACATTAGTTTTCTTCCAGCAGGCGATTAAATACCTCATATGACATCTATCTCCAAAGGATGGTGGGCCTGACTTTTCTACCGGGTCTACAAATAACAACTCATCAAACAGCTGTGGCATTTCCAGTATTCAGTAAATGGCTATAAAGATTAAATGAGAAAAGAAAGTGCTTTGCAAAGCGCAGTACCATGAAAAGAGCACTGGCCCAGGAAACTGGAGCTTTGATTCCTAGTTCTGCCTCTGGTATAAGTTAACTTGCCAGGTGGTCCTGGGTAAGCCCCTCCTTGCTGTGGTCCTCTCCAGAACAAAACAAGGGAGTTGGCTACGTGACCATACTGACGATTACAGGATGGACATTTTCTGCACTGCCATTATCATCAATGTTAATAATAAAGCATTTGCATGAAGTGGTGCAGACTGACACCCCCACAGCTGGGAGGTGTCTGTTGTTCCTGCAGTGGGCACAGACTCGTGCTCGAGGCTGCCACACACCCTTGTCGAAACCTCTGGTACTGTACCTCTGGCTCTGTGGATGAGGTTAAATAACATCAGAGGAAGCAAACATCAGATGGAGTGAAGCTCTCACTCAACCCAGAGCTTAAATGTGACCTCAGTAGATCTGTCAGGCCCGTGGTTTAACCACAGAAGCCAAAAAAACATGGGTAAAGACACAAACTATTCCAGGGTCTGTAGGTCAGCATCATTCAGGAAGCAAGCTGCTCACATTCTGTAAGCAACTTATAGTTAAATCAAGTAAGTAAAATATGCCCCCCTGTGTAGCAGGAACAAATTCTACCACAAAACCTTCCGCATTGTATACTAGAGTCCCATTACTAGAATGGAATGTCACCTTTCCTCATCACAGCAGTCCAGACCTACGCTTATCTTGTATCTCAGGGGCAGGAAATACTTAACAAAGAGCCATAGAAATCAATCTGTTGTGCATCCTGATGAACACTCATCGTTAGTGAGTTTTGCATTTCCTGATTATAAACAATTCTTTACATCAAATACTTCCCCTTGTCTCCTCCCAGGGGCTGGTACTGAATGCCTAGAGGATGGGGAGAGGAATGGTAGTTTCTTTTTGTCTTTAGTCTCACCTGTCTGGTAGCCATGATTATGATCGTACCTTTCTCCTCAAAGGCAAACTTACCCTAAATCCTTAAGGAACTCCACCTAAACACTAGAGCTGCTCAAGACAGCAACAGAAAAAGGGGAAGGGATAGAGTTGTAAACACACAAACACCCCCGGCCCCCGCCCGCCACTATTTCAAACACATCTTGCATCTTTTAACTCATTACAGAAAGTAGGTATTGACCCCTTTTCCTGAGAATGTAAAGCCCACAAAGTGTGCAACATAATGCTTTATCATGGCAGAGGCTTAGGATTTTGCCCACTGGGCTGATACACAGAACTACCTCCCCCTACATCCCCCTACATCCCGGGAAGAATGGGCTCTTTCCTACTACTGCACAGAGATTTCAGTCACTCCAAGTAAATATCCACACACTGAAGTTCTTGGCTGGGGCTTACTAGAACTTCTTGGGGCATCTTCCCCGCCCCCCCCCAGTTAAAGGCAACTTCCTCAAAGTTGATTTTCATTATTATTTTTCATGTTCCTCTTTTTCCTACTGCATCCTTTTCAATTTGAACAGTGCTTTGTGACAACAGAGGGATAGGCAGAGGGAGAAACGTGGGTGGACTTCCTCTGAGAACATCAAGGCAGGCATTGGGAGGAGGGCAGAAGAGTGAACTCCGGCTCCCAGCTCAGGAGGCACTGAGAGAAGCTGTGAGCAGAGGCTGCTCTGTGCCTCCCATGCAGCAGTGATAGCTGGACCAGGTACTTTTAACTGAGTGCCCGTGGGGAAACTGATCCCACTTTTTGGAAAAGCAGGTTAAAAAGGACTGATGGAACCTATAAAAAGTCATTTGCAAAAACCCCAATCTTTGCTTCCATCCACTGGACCACATTACCTCTGATAGGTGTCTAGAATGCTACTTCCTTCATGATTTTCACTGCACAAGTGCTAGGAGATTTAAAAAGATGAGATTTACCTCTTTATCATCATGACGCCTTCGAATAAATTCTTCTGTAGATTCCAAGTAATCAGCTGGTATAAAATGTCTCGGTGATTCAGAATCTTCAAAACAACAAAGTCGTGTTAAAAAACAGGCAAATGTTTAGTGTGAAACCAGGTCAAGAAAAGATTTCACCTTTCTTTTATTATAAACAAAAGTCCTCATTGATTCACGATCAGTAACCAAATTCTGAAGGAAACAACCTAAACCCACCTCTCCCTCGTGCTTTTTAGGTTTACTTGCAAGCTAGTTTAATATGAAGAAAACTAACCAGAAGGCAAACGGTGAACAAAAGGAGAAGGCATTCTTTGACTGTCCCTACAAAGAGGCATCGTGCAGGCTCTACGGGGACAAACCGTACACTTACACACACAGGGCCACGGAGAGAGGCTGCCTCTCCAAAAACCACAGGTGGGCTGGGATTGGTGCAAACAGCAAGGGGCTTGAGAGTTCAAATGGGCACATTTCTCAGATGAGCTAATCGGCCAATTTTTCTTTCGAAACACGGTTTGGTGGTTAGTCTAAATGACATGGGAGATCTGTTTTTAAAGAAGTGCAGCCACTACAAGCCATGGTTAATTGCCAAGCAAAACAAACAGAAGCAAAGGACAGAGAAGGAAATGAGCACCAGGGACACACGGGAGGAAGGGGCAGAGCAAGCCATGTGGAGACAAGGAGGTGAGACTGGTCAAACACATAAAATGCCACCTCCACGGGATGGTGCCAGTTCACTTTGTGGGTTGTTGTTCCTGTCCAGGCCGTGGTCTGAGTATGGCACAGAGTTCCCATTATTAATGGCCCTCGGGCCGTCCTCCAGGATCATGGGTCTCTCCTGAGGGGGCTCTGAGCTGCGGCTAAGCCTGGCCATGGCGTGTCGGGAAGACAGGCGGGTGGGAACCAAGGGCTTCCCCCCAGAGGAGGGCTGATCCTGATGGGGCTGACCAGGGAGGTCTGGCTTCTGGCCCACCGGGGAAGGCTGTCTGGGATGGTGCTGAAGGGGCTTTTTCAACCGAAAAGGGAGGGGGCTCATCAGGTAGATGTTTCTGAGCAGGGTGCTCCTGTCCCCTCTGGACTCCGGGCGCCAGTCAGCCTGCCTGGAGGACTGCTGCTGCTCATGCTTCCGGATGGTGGTGAAGCGGGTGTACGAGGCGGGGCAAGTGCCCTTGCACTTGTTGAGACGATGTTTAGGGAAATCTCCATGAACACTGCCCTCTCTGCTGTCACTGGAGACATTTGAACAGCGGTCTATCTCATCTGAGCAGGTGGAGAGGGGCTCAGAAGGCACGAGGCCCCTGAAGCCCAAGGTGTGGTCTGCCATATTGCTACATGTCGGGGAGGCATAGACCCCACTGGAGTTCATTCCGTCCACCTCCTTGGGACGGAGCTTGGTTGACTCCAGGAGGGACTCAGCTGAGCGGGCTGAGATCAGTCCACTCCTGGACAGCACAGGCGTCGGGGACTTGCTCAGCCTGCCAGACAGGTCCAGGGATGGCATGGACCGAGACCGCTGAATGAGCTGCTCAAAAGCAGTGATGCGGGAGGAGACAGTATGCTTGGGGATGTGTTCTGAGCCCTCTTGGCTGGACCCCAGCTCGCCCCTGGATAACTCCAGGCTGCTTTTTTCAAAGTGGGAGGCAAGATCCCGCACACTCGAGGAGGAGATGGATCCCAGGGAGAGGCCAGCTCGGTTGATCTGGTGCATGTCCCGATAGAACATGGTGAAGTGCAGCCCAGCCTTTTTGGAGAGAGGGCAGGGCTTCCTGGCACTGGTGCTGTACTCCTGGAGGCTCATGGTGCTGCTGGACTTGCTGTCATAATCCCGCCGGGAGCGCATGAGCAGGTTCTCGATGCTTCCCCCTACCTGGAGGGGGAGGCCTCTTTTGGAATCATTCAAAGAAACACAAAGGTTCTCACAGCTCTGCGCCTTCTCTGAGGGCAACAGGATACTCTTCTGTTCCTGCAAAAGAGCGCTGGGAGCAGAGAGCCTGGGTTTGAATTTGGAAGGAAGGATCTCTGAAATGCAGGCTTTCGCAGCTGACAGGGGCTTCTTGTGCTTACACCCAGGGCCTAAAGCACTGCTAGTGTTAAATGTTCGGCTATGAACTGAAGATGAAGAAATCATGTGAGCATTCCCACCTTTACGATCCACTGGTAAGCATGCAGAATAAAATAAACAGACCCATTAGGTTAAAGCTGAAAGCTGCTACAAAAGAAAAAAAAAAAAACCAAACAAACCAAAAAAAGGAGGTAACATGCTCGTTTGTCATATGGGCTTTTAAAAAATTTCCAGTCGATGTCCGGAAGCAAAATAATCTGTGCTGCAAAGCAGGTGCAAAGATGCAACGAAAGAAATGGCCACCCTGCCAGTTAGGAAAGGCTGAAGCTCAGCTAATTTCTAAGAAAAGGGGATTAGAACAAAAAGGACAGAAATGCTTCAGAGAGAGCAAGGTCAGGGTTCAGAGGGAGGGAAACCATTAATACCAGAAAGAAAAATGGCCGGCGAGAAAACAGGGGAGGGGATACAAGAGGGCTCCGAGGCCTGGATATGGATCTGTAGAGGGCAGAGTTGGTTCCAGTTACAGGAGATTCGCCTGCTGCCAACACTCAGGGAACAGGTGTGAAGGGGAGACAGAGCTGCGGACATCACCCTGTTAATTACCTTTAGTGGAAGCTGAGCTGGAGGGTCTCTTGAGCCCACTCAGGCCCTGAAGAGGGATGTCGCCACCTTCCAAGACACTTTTATAAATCTGTCTCTCGTTCTCCAAGCTAGTAAGGTCCCCAGGAGCCCCATCTGATTCCCTCTTCACTGCATGGAAGTTGGAAGAATATATACTATGAAAAAGGTAATTGTAAAAGAAAGAAGGTGGGGGGGGGAGATAAGAACAGGAGTTAGCATTTGTAATATTTTTCTCAAAAGCAAATTACCAGCTCAGGGCAAGAGACACAATTCCTGGCATCCTTATCAAGCACTGTGCTTTCTAAAGAGCATTGGGATTTAGACACAGATGTCTACAGACAAAGACAGGTCTGTGGGGCTTAGACACTCAGGAATCTTGTCCAAATAACAAAGCCCTCCAACTGAGATGACTGTGTTTGTGCTTTAAAAGAATAACTCTGCAAAACACTGCCTGTGGAGGAAAGGTGAGGGGTGGGGGGCCAGGAGAAGGATGGAGGAGGGCTGAGGATGGAAGGCTGGGAGAGGATGGGAGAAAAAGTAGGAGAGAGGGCTGGGGACCCAGTGCTACACACAAGATCATATGGTTAAGGACATTAATGGAGGGGCATGGCCCAACATGTGGCCAGCAAATGTCAGCTACTAAAAGCCCATTACTTGGATTTTTTTTTTTTTAGGTTATTCTGCATGAGCACATGGGCTGATAGAACATTAAAATCAGCAGTGAAAGGAGGAGAGGCCAGCTATCTGGGTACCTAGGAAAATCAGTGACCATGAAAAATGATATACTGGGATTCTATATGCTAATATTTGCTCTTGTTATCACAGGCAGGTGCTTTCTTCTTCTTCTTCCCCCCAAGAGACAGGGCCTCACTATGTTGCACAGGCTAACTCTGAACTCCTGCCTAAGCTTCCCAAAAGCTGGAACTATAAGCACAACACAACCACACCCTGCTTCGTAGCCTAATTTTGTACTTAAAAGTTTTTGCCCAGAACCTTATGATATGTGCATACGTCATTGGCCATTTATGTCCTTCATTTATTTTTATCTTATTAAACTCCAGGTATTTTTCATGATACCACAAATTATTTTTGGAATGAGATGGGCACAACAATATAAAAATACATACTTGCTGATACCCTCCTTTTTCCTAATCATCTCACTTTTTTTATGGCCTCACTAACTGAAACATTGTCGCTGACACATGTATACACACACACACACACACACACACACACACACCACTCACTCTTATTAAGGAAACAAATGGCTTCCACCAGGCTGGGTTTTTTTGTTGGTTTGTTTTTGTTTTATGGTACCAGGGGCACTTAACAATTGAGCCACATCCCCATCCCTTTTTAAATTTTATTTAGAGACAGGGCCTTTCTAAATTGCTTAGGGCCTCACTAAATTGCTGAGGCTGGCTTTGAACTTGTGATCCTCCTGTCTCAGCTTCCAGAGTTGCTGAGATTACAGGCAAGTGCCACTGCTCCCAGCACCACAGGGCTGCTTTTAATTCTACTGAAATTAGATTCCTATTATCTTTATGAATTTGTCAGTTCTGAAGACTCACAGCTTGATGGAATTCTTTTATCCAATATTTTATTATGGATTTTATCAAATATATAGAAAAACTAAAGGTTAAAGAGTTATAAAAGTGAACACGGGTATTCTCCTGTTTAGATTCTCCAGGGAACACAAGCTGAATTCGCTCTGTCACGTATCTATCCATCCATCTTTCCTCTGTCTACCCATCAATGATGAGATTTTCCATATTCCATAAAGCTAGCCTTCCTTCTGTGTATGACCCCAGTCTCCAAGTCCCTGTAATCACAGATAACAATGGCAATTAATCTACATGCCACCTGGTGAGATGCCCTATGTGGGAGGCATGGTGCTAAGTGCCTAGTGATCATTTTCTCTCTAATCCTCACACACAAGCCTACTTCTGCCATTTTTTTTTTTTTCAGATGAAGAAATGAAGCACTGAGAGATTGGGTAACTGTCAGCGCAGTCAGGTTAGCGGGATGGCAGAGCTGGAACCTGAACCACACTGTTAGGTGTATTATATTTTGAGTTGCTGTTTTAGATGGATGTCTCCCCACCACTGAGGAGGCAGTGGCTTACACACTGCAGGAGCCAGAGGGAGGTCAAGGCAGCTCAAGCGCCATTATGTCACTACCATCCAGTGTCACCGGCCAGGTATACACCCCCAGGACAAGCAGCATCAGAACACAAGAGTCTGAAATGGAAGCGGCAGAGACTGTCGGGAAGAGTAATGTCCCCACCCTAGAATGGCTCAGGACCCCTGAGCAACACCAGTGCTTCCAGCACTGAAAATGTCCCTCCCAACTGCTGCCCACACTGGTTAAGAGCTGCTCAAACCCAATTTCAAGGGAACACCAAGTGGGGCAGGCATCAGGGTCCCTCCTCATTCTCCCTGGCCTGGGTGAAGGATTAAATGCTTTCTCCTTCTCTTCAGCCATGATAAAACATTACAGGGATTCTAAGAGAAAAGGAACTTGACTCTCAGGGCTGAAAACATGCAAATGTAGTAAGTCTACAGAGCAGCCTCCGGGGTTCACCTCTCACTGGGAGAAACCTTGGAGAGGGACAGGATGGGACCAGGCTCTTTCCCTGACTGTGTCCTTATTGCAGGAGCCGACTGGTCTATAGATTCCATGAGCAGACTCAATAAATATTTATTGAATGAATAAAATTTCACATTTTCTGAAACTAAAACTGGCATATGTGATCTGATGAAGGACACGTCTGATGTATGAAATTACGAATTGAGAAATTCTTTTCCAAGTATAAGAATGATATTAAATTGACTTTAGGGATCCTGTCTCCGGACGTCAGTGACCTGAAACCATCACCATGGAGAAAAGAGTTGTACTGCAGGGAATTAGCACAAGCCAGGCTCAGGCTGGTTGTCCTTAGTGGTGTTTCTCACCCTGCCTACAGGCAGCACTCCTACAGAAAAAGGCACATTTTCCCAGGCTCAGGGAGCAGGTCTGGGGTCAACGAGCTGCCAGCCTTGCAGCCTTGCAGCGTCTGGCCTATCTGATTCTGTCTGCAGGGGAAGCTCACAGATGTCCATCCTCCACCCCAAGGTTCTGAGAAGAACCTCAGTTCCTACTAGATTGCTAAGGAACACTGAAGGTGACCTGCAAGGCAGTGGCACTATATTCTAATTTCTTAAAATGCAAGGCCAGTTAAACTAAACTTAACTTTAAATTTACTTAGTTAAAACTGAACCTGACCCTTTTCTAAATTTTCTTTTTCCAGCCCACCCGCTTCTTTTTCATTGTATTTTCTGATTTTGTCTTTTAGTTTGAACTGTTTTCCCTTTTTTGAATAACCTCAGCTACAAAATGATTCAAGTGTAGCTGTCCTTTACCCCTGCCAACCAATAGATGTGGTATCTGAGATATATTTTGTGAGAGGACACAGCCTAAAGCCCTTTATACATCCTTCACCATTGAAGACTGACTTTGATAGCAGCTTCCGTCCTGCTGCCCCTATGGTCTTTTGAATCACCTCAGCCTTGGTCAGAACTTCCAAACCACCTTCCTGACCTCCTGTTAACTTCATTCTGTCATGACTCAGCCACAACCGTCTGTTGAATCTTACACCTCTCCCTACCTTACCAGACATCAGAACTCACCCCGGTCCAGCCCACTCCCTGGCTGCATTCCACCCCATATCACCATTTCTTCCTGCTTCCCACAGAACCACAAACCAGCACTCAGGAAACCTCTCAGAATGGAGTTGCTTACAGCCAATTGTTTTCTTTCTGATATCAAAGCTGACAAAACAATACTTTTTCCAGATGTGTAACATTTTGCACTAAGGCAGGGTTATTTAGAAAATAGTCTATAAGAGCTCTGGAACAATGTTTTTAAGTGTATCATCCCCATCAGCTCTCCTAATGTTGGAAAGACAGACATCATTTGTTTCACTGTCCAAAAAAGAAAGCTGAGGACCAGAGTGGTGAAGGCATTTTCCCAAGTCACAGAGTTGCTGGGTCCTCATTATATCCAGGTAGATCAGAGAAGATGAGAGAAGGAACCTGGGACTCAAAGCTTGATTGGACTCAAAGGTACAATAAGGATTAGCAGTTACTGTTGTTAGTCTAAAAAAACAAAAACAAACAAACAAAAACAGGGTGAGAAGTTCAGCTCTGAGCAGCTCAAGTTGAGCCAGATCTGGGTTCAGTCACTGCAAGCCAATAGGAGACAGGCAGAGAATTCAGCCTCTGGCTAACATGCGGAACTGGCTGCTGGGTTTCAAGAGGATTCAACAAAAACACAGCTACTGCAAGAATAAAGTGATTATCCTAGGCCAACTTTTCCAACTGTGCGAATAGGCAGGCTCTGGAGGCAGTGGCCCAGGTCTTGGAAGGCCAGATTCCAGTCTGACTCCAATAAGGAAGGTGGAGCAGCTAAGCCAAGCTCCTGTTGTCTAGACACTTGAAAGCAGGATGTTTCTCTCGGCTTTGATGTCATTCATCTGCAATACTAACAGGTATGGGGTGATTGCCCAAGACCTCGCCTGTAAATCTGTTATCTACACAGACCTTTCTTTTGGAAACAGACACATATTCAACTGCTTTCTAGACAGGAATCTTAAGACTGACACATCCCAAGCCAAATCCAGCTCTGTTCTGCCACTTCCCATTAACGAAGCCAGAAAACCACATGAATCAATTCCCTTCTCCCTCCCTTTGCCACTCAAATCTAATCAATAACCAGGCCCTGCTTTCTCTGGGTTCTTGACACAGCCAACAGTAATCTCCTCACTCTATCTCCTGGTTAGCATCTCACCATCTCTCACCTATAACCCTGTGACACACATACCATCACCACTCCAGCCTGACTCCCTCCAATCATCTGTGCATATCACTGCTAGTGATATTTCTAGAAAATATTTCCTGCTGTCGCACTACTTATTGATCCATTCAGCAAATATTTGCTGAGCACGTCCTCTGTTTCGATCACTCTCCTAGGTAGAAGACATTCAGTAGGAGCTCACATTTGAACACATTTACTGTTCAAAACAATTTGGTGATTTCAGGAAGGAAAAAACAAAAAGTAACTGTGGTTAACTATAGAGGAGAGGGGTATCTAGACAATCCACTCTAAGTTTCAAGTTATAGACTTTTGTAATGCATGACACAATTATTTTTATATTTATAATATAATGTCACATTTTCTTGACCTTTCCTCCTCCACAAAACAAGGGGTGCTCATTTCCTCTTGGGTCGTATCATTGCATCTGTCTATCATACTGACTTCACAGTCTGTTTCCCATGTTACACCTGAACCCCTCAGAAGCAATTTATTTTATTAGTCTTTGCATGCCTGATACCTAGTGTGCACTGGTGGAATAAGTGATTCTGAAAGTAAATGCCTACATGCACACGGATTTCTGATAGACTTTCAGGTACCAGGGGAATCTCTAATACATCATATAGTTCTTCAGGTTATGTCTGTTCTTAAGTCAGATTAAGGGGACTCTGGTATCCTGTATATCTAGGAAACAGTGACTTGTTCTTGAGTGCCACCATCTGGTCAAATAGAGTAAAGCTCTCTTGGTTAGGCAAAGAAGACATCAGGGCTAATCAATACTGAAATATCAAGCAATGATGAAAATGAGTAGTTCCCACTAATTGATACATCTGACAATGCTAGAGAAATGAAAGAAAAATCAGACATTACTGTGATGGTAACCATAAGAATATTTTTTTAGGGCTAGGACTGGTCATTATATCAGGATCAGGACTATGGCTAATTTTCTTCCTCTGTTCCTAGTTCCTTTCATATCATGTGATATATAATCAATTCTAATTAACAAAATTCTAAACTGTAGTCTGTCCAAGACACAAAAGTAGGTTTCAAAAGCATCACTTCCCCAGTGGCCACAAAGCTGGGAACCTGAGCCATCTGGAATTGCTTTCTTCATTCCTTGGGTTAGATAAAGTTTGAATACATCATCCCTACCCATCCAGCAAAAGGGAACAGAATCAGTGTGCAGGTTGCCTCCGTGCCAATCAAGCTGGATTTGGGTTGAGATTTGCAGACCCGTCCATCTATCCAGCAAGCATTTATTGCACACTTCTCTTTGTGTCAGGCTGGTTCTCACCAATAACAAATATGGAAAAGTGTGCTGGGTGCTGTGGCACATGCCTGTAATACCTGTGACTCTGGAGCCTCAGGAGGATAGAAAGTTTGAGACCAGCCTCAGTAACTTAGCAAAGCCCTGTTTCAAAATAAAAAATAAATAAATAAAAAGGACAGGATAGAGTGACAAAGTGCTTTGGGGTTCAAGCCCCAAATAAAAGACAGAGGGGAAAAGAAAAAAAGAAAAAAAGCGTATGCATTTAAACAAACCAGGAGAAAAGCAAGCCTCATACTGAAAATTCCTCAAACAGTAGAAGAATGAGGAAGAAACTATCTATTACTGTCAAGTATTTCACAAGAGCTGACCATGACTGGAAAACAGAGGTCTTTAGAAACCTATTTCAATGATTCAAAATAAGTTAATAAATTAACACATCAAATATCTTTATGGATGCTCAGAATGCCTGGAAATGATTTGCTCTGTTAAAAACTGTATTAGTCCCCTTCAGTCCTACACAGGGTTGCTTAAATTATCTGATGGCTCAAAAAACAAAGAACCTTGCTATGTCTTCTGCGAGTTTATTACCAAACTGGAGTCAGTAATGATGCAGGTGAGACTTTACGGCTGACACGGGTTCCCTATCCCAGAACTTCACTGTTCCTGCTATGGACAGTGCGCTCCTTGTTCCAGCTGAGGAACTGTGGGCATTACATTACCTCAACATGCCATTTCCTCACCTATGCAATGAGGATTTTGATCCTGGAATGTTGAGAGGAATAAACAAGATAAGGTACATAAAATGTTAAGCATAAGGCCTGGCAGGTAGTAAATGCTCAGTAAGCAGCTTTCCTCCTCCATGACCCTCCACCATGATGTCCTGCCTCATTGCCTCAGGCCCACGACAAAGGAGTTGATTGACCTTGGACTGAACCTTTAAAACCAAGAACCCAAAATAAACTTTTCCTCCTCTAAGTTATTCTCATTAGGTATTTTGGTCACAGCAACAAAATGCTGACTAACTCAGGACAACATCTTCATTCCTATGAATAGGAATATAGTATAGAGCCTTATTCCAGAAGAGTTAAGGAATCAACTCATCTGATCGTTGAGCTCAGAAGCAGCCTTTTCTTCCTTGTGTCCTTGAGTGAGATTGGGGTGAAGAGGCAGAAGGGGAGACCAGGCAGCAGGGTTAACACAGGGCAAGCCTGAACCAGTGAGGGCAGGGAGAGGCCTGGTTGAAGATTCCAATCAGGCACTGTGCAGTCAGCAAGGCCAAAGTGACAAGCTAGTAACAAAAGGGCAGCCTTGGGGGTCCTAGGAGAATCTGTGGAGAGCTGTGGCCTGGAGGAAGCCCTTTACCCACAGGTTACCAAAGGTCACCTGGTGGCCTTCACCTCTGGAAGCACATCTCCTGGGATCTAGGGGACCTGTGAATTGTCACCCTTACAGCTGAAGGCAGAGCTTCACTGGAAGCTCTTCAACAAATTAAGCCTCAGAACCGAGAGGAGAGGGAGAAAGGGGAGGAGGTCCCAATGCCATGTCTCAGCCCGGACACTTCTGTGTCATACTGGTGGTTTGGTCACTACCCCACAGTGGGTACAAGAGAGTATACCCTGCCTTCTGAAGCCAAGGTGGGAACTCTCCACGAAGGCACGTAACTTTCCTTCCAGCTGCTGTCTTAATACACTTCTCAATTTTTTCTTATATTCTGGGATATATTAATCGTGAAGTACACATATTTATAGAAGAAAAATTAACATAATGGATCCAAGTTATTCTTGTCAGAGCTTTTGAGCACTATTCTAAAAGGATTAAAGTTTTTCCATCTTCCCACTGAAACATCCAAGTCCCAGCCAACTTTCAAATGAAACTCCTCTTGCCTAGTACCTGCATTGGCATGGTAGGCAGGACACACTCGAATGACTATGATACTTATAAAAAAAATAGTCTATAAACAGCAATTTTGCTCATTGTGGTTTTACCAACCCAAATGGAACAGGTAACGGTTGTGCTGTGCTGTTCCTTCTTATTATATTCCAAAGAACAGGCTGCAGATATAATGGTGTAAAGACAAGGAAGTGCTCCTACCAGAACCAGCTCCTTTCCCCAATTTATTGGGTGTGTCAGGCACCAATGGAGATGGAGGGCCTTGTCCTTAAGGCCCTTATGCATCATTAACTCTTATATTTATAAAATATAATTCAGGTATATGGCAGCAAAAATAAGGGCCACACAAGGTACTATCATGAGACTGGACATAGGAGGCTCAGTACCTATTAACAATCTAGAATGTTTGCCATTTACCATTTACCACCTATCTAACAGAGTGGGGGTAATAGCTGGACTGATAACTGCATGACTGAGTTCAGAGGAGGACAATCTGGTAGAGGACTCATAATGGTTTGGGGGAGACGGACAGGAGGCTGATGGTTACCCGATGAAGAACTGAGTAGAGGATGCAGAGTTCTAAGAATCTATTGGGGGGGGGGTCCCACATGATGTGAGACTCAAGTTTAAGCTGGCCCCCCTCGTGGCTCCAAGTTCCTCATGGAAGATCTAGACTGAGGACCCAACCTCACGAGCTATCCCACCAGGATCACTCCCTTGCAGCCACCTACCCCTTCCCAAGAATTTATAAAGGAGAACGGATTCTAAACAAAGACAAATAACTTCACATCCTCTACGTTCAGACATCAGCATGAAGAAAAGCTTATTAAAGGCAGTATGAGTCATCACGGAATTAAATAGAAAGAGAAGGAGGGAACAAAAGAATAACTTGAACGCTACAATTAGATCTCTCTACTGGCCACCAAACTGTACGTCATTGAAGCCATTAGATGGACACAAATATAACACACTGGGTCCAAAACATGAGGAGTGACTACTTACTATCCAGGAGGCTCTGGGGAGATGTCCAGAGAGGGGCTGACTGCTGAGCTCTGCAAATGAAAAAAAAAAAAGAATAATAATCTGTAGGTGATTTATTTTGACTCAGATTTCAAGCTAAGGGAAAAAGAGAGAAGCCACTTTCCTTTCCTCATTTAGACAAAAATCTCTAGGAGCCAAGGGGCCTGGATGCAAAGGTTTCTGGTGCTGGTGAAGGGTGGTGCTCTTCTTGGAGAGGAAGCTTTCAGGGCACAGGGGTTCTCCATGCTCTGGACTTTTCCTTCCAGTTGATACAGCCACAGCTCTCTGGGTGAGTCAGGAGATGGCCTCCTGACTTAATTGTCTTCAGTTGCAGGTCCACCAGGCAATGGTCCTCCTCTGGGCCAATATGCAACAGCACACCCTTCACCAGCATTTCCCCAGCCCTCAGACTCCCCTGCTGTGCTCACTGCAGATCCCTTCATGCGCCCGAGGTACCACACCCAGAGAGAGGGTAATGCAACACTTTAGATACAGAATGCACACACACAAAAAAATGCATTTTGAAAGACCACACTGTATTCAGATAATTTGTTTATGGCTGCAGATTGAAAAGTGTGGAAATGGGGAGAAACATAATTTCACTAAAAACCTACTAATGACCATTTCAGGGAATGCTTCATGAAACTACAGGCCACCACACAAAAGAAGAAAATCACCAAGAGCTACATGCAGAGAGAAAGCAACGTAAGTGTGTAGGTTAGGGTCTCTTTTGTTGTCTTGGAGAGAAAAATGTGAAGGGCTCAATATATTTATTTTCCAATAAACCAATGTAAAAATTAATACTCCTATTTCTAATAATAACCATTTTAAAGAAAACAAGCTATCTGGAGAAGAGACGTTTAGGGACAGGAGAGAAAGAGAAAGAAAAGGGAGAGACTGTGGAAGAGGGAAAGGAGACGGCACAGAGTAGCAGGCCTTCATGGAGGCTCACTCACCCTGCCCTCTGCCTGCCAAAACACCCACCTTTCATCTTTGAGGGCATATCTGCCCAGGATGAGGACATTACTCTTCAGAGAAAGCAGCAACTCTTACCTCCACATTCACCCTCCAGCCCTCTGGCTACCCTGGTCTCACTGACCTTCCTCTCTCCATCTTGAATCTCCTACCTCTCGCCATCTGTTCCATTCTGTTCTTCCACCTTGGAAGACCTTGCCCTGGTCTCCATCGCTGTGACATCCTCAGGGAACATCCCACTCCCTTCCTTCCTTCTATGATTACATCTTCTCAATCAGTGCTGCACTTCCGCAGGATTCCCTCATTGTTGCCAAATATCTAACTCCCAACAACTACTCAGCCAGCGCCCTTCAAAGTCTTGACTAATTTCTTAGTTATCAATTCCACCGACCTTTCCTGGGAGTCCATGTTTTGGGACTCTCTGAAGCACTTGGGTCATTCTCATACTTCCTTTATGGGTGTCTGTCTCTCTCTCTTCTCCTAGTTCTTTGTCCCTCACACCAATTAGGTAAAATATCCCACTGCAATTTCCTGGGTGATCTCTCTCCCATCTCCCAGCCCTCTATGTTGGTGCCACCACTGTCAGGATTCTCATCACTGTCCGTCTGGACTACTGCCACAACTTACTCACCTCTGAGACTCCAGTGTCCTCTCCTTCAATTCATCCTCTCTAGAGCAATGCCATTAGTCTCCCTAAAATACTTCCAGAAGTACATCACTGATTTGAGGGCAAAATTCATCGTCTCCTTAGCCATATTCTCTGCACCTCTGCATTCCAAGGTCAAGACTCTTTCCCAAACCTACCTCCTACTATTTTTACCCTAAAATTCTCATTCCAAAAGACCTTGTCCTATCCCTTAATTATTGTGCTTCTGTGATCTTTTCAATGCATTCCCAGTGCTTCTAATGGACATCCTCTATTTGCCATGTGCTTAAGTTCCACTCACCCTTTCGGATCTTGGCTAACTCCTCTGAGAAGTCTTCCTGATTTCCCATAAGACTTCTCTCTCGGGGCCCTCAGAGCCCATGCCGTTCATTTATCTCTTAGCAGACACCACTGTCTTTTACTTACGAATGTAACTGAACTGTCAAGTTCCTGAAGGCAAAGGCTCTCTTCTTGTGTTGGAGTAGGCCTCCACCAGCAACGTTCCACACATATTCACACCAATGACAGGCATCAGTCAACTGAACCAGTGTAAAGATGATTCACAGAGGCACCAGACACTTCTTTAAGTTCTGAGTGCTGGAAACACGCTCTGCCCTCAGGAAGGTAGCAGTTAGATCAGGGGCTCTCTAACTGCCTCCCATCCTTGCATGGCTTGCGGAAGCTCATGTTATTTTGGACTACTTTGAAAAGTGCCTCCTGATTCATTCTTGGCCAACTTATCACAGACCTCCCATCCTGCATCCTAGCCCACATCAGGACTTACCTGACACCACAGTTCTTATTCCAGAACTTGCTATGGTCTGCACCCCACTGGAAGTTTCAATCCAACAGTAACTACACCAGGTTCTTCCTTGCCCAGCTTCCCCCAATCCCAGTCACCCATCTGCCTCAATTGTGTGCATGGTGACTCACTTCTTATATCTCTTTCAAGTTTTAAGGGAGGGCCTGGGCCTAAATACTGGCTATGCTGCTTCCTCATCTTTCTGTGTCTCTAACTGCCCTGCCTATCCTGCAGCTCACTGACTTTGGACACTGGATGCTCTTACCAGGGGTTGAACCCACAGTGGCTGCTACCAAAATCCCCTATTTACTCCAC